AGCAACAGACTCAACTGTGTTAGGGAAGATGAGGACAGCACAGGATAGGACAGAGTTCAGATCTATTGTTAATAGGTTTGCTATAAGTAGTATTTGACAGCACTTAACAACAATTATAGTACCATTTTTATAAAAAAAGTATATTCATTAATGGCACCACAGAAGAGTCAAAAGTCTAATATATCTGAGTTTTTGTTTCAATATTTTTTAAAAGATGTAACTATTTACTTTAAGTTCCTAAATGAATCTATCTTGGATGAAACAACACCAGGAGTGCTTCTTAAAGAGAAGGATATTGAAACTTCATCTCACATATTTCGGGCATGTTGTCAGGAGAGGCCAGTTATTGGGAAAAGACATGCTAGGAAAGATCAGCAAAGGAGAGGAAGACCCTCTATGATATGGGCTGACAGTGACTACAACAGTGGGCTTCAGCATGATGGTGTTCATAATGAAGGTGCACAACACGGCATGGTTCAGTTCTGCTGTTCACAGGGTCACTATGAATTCACCTAACAACAACAATCTTATCAAAGAGAAAGGCTAGTAGCACAATAGTTAAGCTCTCAGTTGCTAAATGAAAGAAGAGATGTTTAAAACCACCAGAAGCTCTGAGGAAGACCTGGTAATTTGCTCCTGTGAAGATCAGAACATAGCAAACACAATGGGGTAGATCCACGCAAATTGCTGTGAGTCATAATTGACTCAGAAGCACTCACTGCTTTGTTCTTTAATTCCATTCTGTTGAAGACAAGACAACAAACAAATTGGTAGCATTCAATCATAAGTTTTAAAAAGGGCTTCAGAAGTCAAAGGTCTTTTGTGGAGAGGTTGAGAGATATCAGCTGCTCTGGCTTTGGAAGTCTACCCCTGCACCTCTTTATTTTAAAACATATCAAGCTAATTTATGATATTTCCAGAAATCTTTAGTACTACAATATCAGGTTTCAAAATTATTGTGATAAAATTATTTTAGTCATTCTGAGTTTAAACCATCTGTGGAGTGTTTACTGAATCAGTTGCTAACGATATTCTATGCATACAGATGAGATTTTTCTAAATAAAAATGCAAAAATATTTCCACATCTGTTGTTTTTGTTGTTATGTCACCTAGATTAGCAAAATTCTTGCCTAGAGTGAAAACACAGAATATTCTTAACGTACACATTTCCCCTAACGATTCCATCAAGATTGTGTCATATTTTCAACTATATTTTCTCTTACTATGCCATTATAATTTACACAAATTCATGAGATTCTAATTCTAGATATTTGGAGTCAAATGAAATTGCAACTTTAATCTCTACACAAAATGTCCAAGATTTTTTTTAAACTACAGACTATTTGATAAGATCACCCTAGGAATTAGAACTAGAAGATGAAGATTCCCAGATGGTATGAAGGGAAAGAAAACAGAGTTAACCAGCTTTAAAATGCAACAATTTTGTGTATATGGAGATTCTGTAACAGCCACGTTTGGGTCAATTAAAAAGCAAAAACTAACAACAAAAATTCATTGTTTATTTTTTCCACTTCCATGTGACATTAATTATTCCAAGAAAATTATTTAAATTATTATTTAAAGAAGATTCAATTTTAATATGATAGGCTGTTGTTTTTAAGTTCTGTTGAGTCAAGCAAGACTCATAGTAACCCTATGAACAAAAGGCCTGAGCCCTGTTCTATAACTACCGTCATTTCTCTAAGTTCATAGAGTTTCCAGGGGCATGTTGTTTCGGATGCCACTCTATTTAATATTATAGTAAGATCCGGTAATACTAAGTGGTAAAAAGTTGCACTGCCAACCCACTGTACATGGCTTGAATCCACTCGATACTCCGCGACAGAAAGACAAGCAATATCCTCTCAAGGATTTGTTGTTGTTGTTGTTATGTGCCATCAAGTCGCTTGCGACTCATAGCGACCCTATGTACAATAGCCCTAAACCCTGCTCTATCCTGTGCCAATCTCACTGCCTCTGACATACTCATCCTGGTTACCCCAGTCACTGAATCAATCCACCTCATACAGAGTCTTTCCCTTCTGTGCCGTCCCTCCACCTTCCCAAGCATAATGTCCTTCTCCAAGGACCTCTCCCTCCTTACAATATGCCCAAAGTATGTCAGACGAAGCCTCAGAATCCTTGCCTCCAAGGAGCAGCCTGGTTTAACCCTCTCCAGGATGACTCTGTTTGTTTTCTCGGAAGTTACAGCCTCTAAAAATCCACTGGAGGGTCAGCTATATCAAGACATAACAACCACCACCTTCCATTCTGTGGCGATTTATCAGTTGTGTAGATTGTAAAATTTCTTTTTCCTTCCTTACAACTCAGAGTTCTTTTCATTCCAAGCAAGGAATAGGCAAAGAAATAAAGTGGAGTTAGAATGTCAATTATTCCATATCACCACTCATTAAAGCAAGACAAAAGAATTGGAAATATACATTAATGAGTAAAGAGGTAAAAGCTATCAGCTGCTTTATTTCTCCACCTTAAGATTTCAGATTAATAAACAGCTATTAAACATTCACAGAAGTTATAGAGGTTTGTAACAACACAGTTTCACATTTATCTATTATTATATTGAGTACTACTAGTTCCCTTTAGCTATTTTAACTAAGTGTCAATTAGTTTACCAGCTTTTTCATTTTTATTTTCTAAAGGTTAAGTCCTTGGATACTCTGTTTTGACTGTCTCCAAAGAACCAATTCTCCTAAACATAAGTCACTAAGACAGTTTCAACAAATTTAAAAACAATTGACATCAGAAATTAACAAAAGAAGGGAAAATGGAAATTATGGAACTACATGGGAATTAAACATCATAGTTTCAGACAACAAATTAGAAAGCAGTCAGAGATGAATGAAAATGAAACCACGATATACCAAAACTTAGGTGACAAAGCAAACATAGTACATAGAAGGGGGAAAATCACAGCTATAAATACCTTATTGAGAATAGAAGAAAAACCTCAAATCAATAACCTAAGTTTACAGCTTGAGGAACCAGAAAAAGAATAGCATGGTATACCCAAAGTTAACCTAAGGAAAACTAATAAAGATTAGACTAGGGATATATAAAATAGTGAATAGAAAAAGAGTAGAAATAATCAATGAAATAAAAAGTTGGTTCTGAAAATATCAATTTGCAGGTATCATACAAAGAAAATTCTATACATAGAAAATGTCAAAGAATGTTCAAAGCTATTAGATTCATGCTATTAAAAAGTCATGAGCTTGGTAAAATGGTGTACAGTGAAAATATACAAAAATTAGCTAGGTTTCTTTATACCAACCATAAGCGATCTAAAAGTGACTACTTAAGAATTTTAATTATGGTAGTATCTCAAAGAATAAAATATTTAGGAATACGTTAACTGGGAAGTGAAAGACTTTTAACATTGTTAAAAGATATTAAAAACCTAGTTCATGAACTGTTGCTCTGTGCCACTGAGTTAGAATCAACTCACAGCTAACTCTCCCACAGGTTTCCAAAGGCTGTAAATCTCATGAGAGGAAACTGCCCGTCTTTCTCCTGCACTGCAGCTAGTGGATTCAAACCACCTGCTCTTGGGTTGGCAATGCAATTCCTTACGACTGGGCCACCAGAGTTCCCTAGTTCATGACCTAGAAGACTTATTATCAAGTTCATTAACTACTTCATGATTAATAATCACATAACCTTAAAAATTATAAAATTCATGAACTTAGTAAGATGTCACTATGACCCAAAGCAGGGAGCTCTAGTGGCAGAGTCCACAGGGAGCTGCACTGCTAATCCAAACATGGTACCTCTCTTACGGCTGGAATCCACCAGGGGCTCCACAGGTGGGTCATTTCCTCCCATGCAATTTGTTGTTTACTGCCTTGAGTTGAGCACGACTCATAGCAACCCTATGAACAAAAGACCTGAAGCCTTTCAATAGGTATTGTTGGTTCACAGAGTTTCTAGAGCCATGTTGTTTAGGAAGTGGATGCCACTCTTGCTTCCAAAAATTCCCATGCAATTTACAGTCTCCAAAAACCCATTGGAAGGTCAAGTATGAATTGCTTCCAACTCAACCCCAGTGAGTTAGTTACTACCCACACCAAACTACTATTACAATTCTAAAACTTTCTTTGCAGAACTGGAAGTCAGCCTTCAAATTTATATGTAATTTTAAGGAGATCCAAATAATCAAGGTCATCTTACAAAGAACACAGCAGTTCTCACTTTCTGATTTAAAAATATACTGTTAAAGGCAATCATGTGCCATTGCCTTAAGATACACCATCTACAAATGGAGATAAAAGTTTGTGAATAGGCGAGCTCTGGTGGCCTAGTGGCAGAAAACTACACTGCAATCCCAGAGGTGCGTGGTTCAAATCCACCAGATGCTCTGCTGAAGAAGGAGGAACAATCGCCTCCTGTACCAGTCAGATCCAATTTGATTGGTACACACATAAAAAGAATAAATAAAATTTTTTTAAAAGTTTATGAATCTCTATTCTAATATTCAAGTTTAGTAAATACTAGTTCTAAAGAACAAAAGACAACAACTGATATTTCAGTCATATTTTTCTCCACAGATCATTAATGCTGTCACTGATTTGACTCCAATTCATGGCAATTTTATCTATTATTACCTGGAGATTAATTGTAAGACTATATAAATGAGCCCATCAAGAAAACCAGTTAGATGTTTTCTACTGAACAATCATTAGGTAATTTAAGTAAATCCTCTCTACTACATGTATAATAAAAAGAAAAATAACAAAAACTATTCTGCACTTTAATTCTAGTCAGATAATGGTTTAATAAAAAGTACAAAACCTTAAGTCTCCCCTAATGAGTTCATGCTATCTCACAGGTCTGTTAGCTCTTTAATCCAGGATAAAAATTGATCAATTCTTAAGCCATACACAAAATAAGCAATTCCTAACGCCTACAAATATTTTAATTAAAAGAAATCTTTAAATTAATATTTTTATGAAAACACCATAAATGCTTTTATTTCTCTTACCCTTATCTGTTCAGTAGAGCTGCTGCTAAGTTCATCACCAGATTCGGAATCTTGATGTACCCTTTCTGAGCCTTCTCCTGCTGAATCACAGGACTGTTCCTGGGAGAAGCTGGTTTTTTCTATGTCCAAAAACTCTGGACATGGAAAGTGACCAAATAAGCGTGTCCTATTCTGGCTGGGAACCTTAGGAGAATGTGAGTCACTGTTAAACTTTCCATTATTATGAGTCAGGTCCAGGCTTAGGGTCAGAGTTTGACCCTGGCTACAGCTGGGTCCAAAATTCTGATTGGCATCACGAATAAGACCTGTTCCTTGAACAGAAGATGACGACTTTCCAAAACTTGAAAGCTCAGGCAATTTGTTCACATTTTCTGTCGATCTCTGAAGATGCAGACTCTGTACCATTTTCATAGAATTGTTTGGAAGTCCCACGACCTGTTTAACAGGAGGCATTAGAGCTTTGCGAGTTACCTCCTTAACATACTGAGCTGGCACATAAAAAGTTTTTGAATTCTCATCTGGTTTTACTTGCCACCAGTCATCATTTGTTTTTTTCACCAGAATGTACCGTTCTCCTTGCTTTATCACAATCTTTCTGTCCTTTGCTTCATACTCATAATCATATTCCACTTCAATATAAACTTGTCCTGGAACAATCTTCCCACTTCTGTCAGCCATTTTTATTCAATGATATTCACCTCTCAAAAAGGATGGTATGCCACATTATGGCTTTTCAGATGAAAACAGCTATTTTCATTTAAATGTAAGAAGAAAAAAGGGACACATTAATGTCTAGAGCTGTGATCTGAACACATAAGTATACAATACAAATAATTTAAAGAATATTACCTTCAAACCACAAACTCCAGGAAGTAAACAAATGTCTAATACCATATGCATTAGTCAATATTAAGAGCATTTTCTATTTTAACTACAACCTCAATATTTTAGTCATTTTTAACCAAAATCAAAGTTAATAACTAAAAGAGTAAACAAACATACATGGATAATCACAGGAATATAAAAAATAAGAAAACCATTCTTTTCATGACTTCAAATCTCCTTACTACTTCCATTAAAAGGCCTATTTTCAGTTACTAATATTAATTATTAGGGACCTATCCAGCAGTAGGGTTAAAGAATGACCTGGTTGTTTGCCTCCATTAAGATTACAGCTGAAGAAACCTCACAGAATACAGTTCTACTCAGTAACACATGGAGTAGTCATGAGTCAAACAACTGAAAAGCAATGGGTTCTACAGGCATTTACTGAATCTGTAAATACAATCTTCAAAACTAGACCTGCATTTCAATGGCTGTGGATTATTTTCCAAAAAATTAAGGGATTAGTGAATTTTAAAATAAAAACAAACAAGGGACCCAACTGAGTTAAATTTTCCACATCACTTTTTTTTTAAAAAGCACCAATGTTATTGTTTGGCAAAAAATAAAGAGAGAAAGAAAAAAAGCTGATAATTTATTTGATTTCTCTCTTTCTCTACCCTCAGGAGAGATAATACTTTTTAGGTTGAAACTCAGTAGAGTATCTCAGAAATAGACCTAAACTAGGTTGAGAAATCCTAGCATTCATGGTCATTTGTATACCAATTCTAAAATATTTTGGTGCCTTTTCAAATACAGCATTCAAGATTTAAAATGATGACAAGATCTATGATCAAAGAATCTGTACTGCTCCATACAACTTAAGTCAAAGGTCAACATAATTCAAGCATCCAAGGATGACTTGAGCAAACCAATTCTGAATATAGAAATCCATTAGTATTGTGTAAATCCAAAAACTCATGACAACTTTTCAATTTTCCTCAGCACTCAAATACTGGGCACAAAATTATAGTACTGTATCTGTGCAGCAACCATCATTCATCTAATGATAATAAACTTCTTCAGGACAGAGAGATCTCATGAACTCATGTGTTAAATAACTGACATAATTTTGGGGAGCTTAAAATATCTTTTTTTTAAAAAAACTGCTCTAATAACATATTTAAATAATCATATGGTTTCAAAAAAAGGAGGGGGGAAAAACATACCTTAGAAAGAGGAGACGTAACGATTAGGCATTGCATTTAGACCTAGGGAAAAAGAAAAAGAAAAAAAGTTTGTTAACTCTAAGCAGGACTGTTTACAGACCACCACAAGTAAAACTTGGCTCACATTTTTTTAAAAAACCTCTTTACTTTTATAATAGCTACAAAGCACACAGACCAATCTTATACACCATTACTGCATATGTCATAACCCTCCACACATATATAAACACAATCACTAAGAAGCACTGAGGTTTGCTTTACCATTGCCCTTTCCTACTTCATTGCCATGTTATTTCAGTTTCACTTCTATCTCTTTGAATGTTTCATTCTAGGAAATGGGAAAATATTAAGGATTTCGTTAAATTTCTGACTTGTCAGAAACAATGTTGTAAAAATTGTTTAAATGATAGGCATGTTTTTCATGTTTATGGGATTGAATAGGTAAAAAGAATGAGTACAAACATCTTAAAAGTTGTTAGAAGTCAAGGAGCCTTAAACAGTAATAGAGAGCTCTGGCTAATCACCAACTGAGCCAAGCAACATCAATAGTGGAGCAGCCTAATAATATGTGTCTTCTGAGGAGATGAAGTATATCAGGCTGATCATTAGAAAACTAGCAGGCAAACTCAGAATATAAGATTCTATCAGACAACCTAAGTGCCCATCAACAAACGAATGGCTAGAGAAGCTGTGGTATATTCGCACAATGGAATACTATGCTGCATTAAAAAACAAGGAACTCATGCAATATTATTCAAAATGGTTGACTCTGGAGAACATTATGCTGAGTGAAATATCCCAGTCACGAAAGGACAAATATTACATGATGCCACTGTTGTAGAATGGGACTGTCCTTGGGGTTGGGGAGAGACTGAGTAAGATGGGTTCAATAATGTATACTGCACTGAAACAGAGGAGGGAGAGAACCGTTTAAAAGAGAGATATAACTGGGTATTTCTGTCATCACAGGAGACTAGAGCGAGGGCTGCATGGTGGAGGAGACCTGGGGGAGGGTTTGTAAAACAATGAAAGAATCTTTTCTTTTACTTTTCCATAATTTTTGGACTCATGTACTTATAACTTGTTAGTCAAATTTGTGTCTTCTAGGTTGCAACACCCCCATGATACATCTTGAAGGATATGTACATGTACAGCCAAGCACAATCAATAAGAGTGCATCTGAATTCCAAAATCAATCTCCATAATAGTCTATGTGTTTCCTACTGCCAAAGGGGCCCTTTAGAGTAGTGAGAGAAGATCTTCACCCTGAAACCCACAGCGTCCCTTTTCAGCAGGAAGTAGCTAAGAGAATATGCCGTCCCCTTTTCCTTATGACTCAGGGTGAAGTCTCTCTCAGGGAGGAGTGATAGGGAATGGCAAAGGATACACTGACAAAGAAGATTAATCAGAACTGGCTTTGACAAGCACTGTGGCATTTGGACAAGAACAAACTGGGAGGAGGGTAGAGAGAATAGTGCAACAATGAATGAGTGGAAGCCCAAAATCTCTGTAAATGTTTATGAAAATTAATAAAATATAATTATAGAGAAAAAAAATTAATCTCAAAAAAAAAAAAGATTCTATCAGACAATATGCTTAAATTCTATTTTAAAAAAAGGTCAACCTTAAAAATTTAAAGAGAAGAATATTCTAAATTAAAAGGGGCTGCTGGTGTACAAGCAAATTTACCTGTTAGAAATGGCCTACTATTGCCTAAAACTCAGTACAAGCAAATATCCAAACTTCTCTCTCTTGCCCATCTTTTCTTTATCAATACAGTAAGACCTGTTTTTCTAAGGTTGAGAGTAAAAACAATGATATCAGTCTCAAATCCCTTTTTTCATCTCATACCCTCCACATTCAATACAAAGCAAAGTCTAATATTCTATCTTCAAGATACTGAATCTGATCCATTTCCACCACCTTTACAACAAAAATTCTGGTCCAATCCCTCAACATCTCTCCTCCTTGACTTTAATAATAGTTTTGTTACTGTCTCCCTGTCCACATTCTGGTTCTGCTATATCCCAACTCACTGTTACTGAGCACATGATAACTCACAGTGACCAACCATCTGGTTTCCAAAGCCGTAAATCTTAATAGGAGACTGTTCCACTTTCTTCCATGGAGCTGCTGATGGATTCAAACTTCCAACCTTCTGGACAGTAGCCTATTGGCTATTGTAGTTACCATTACACTACCAAGCTTCCATAGTCTTGTTACTTGTTAAAGCAGTAGTCAGAGGTATCTTTTAAAAGTATTGTCAGATTATAACTATGAGTCGCAAGCGACTCAACGGCACATAACAAGTCAGATTATGTCACTATTCTCTAAAATCCTGTAATTTCTCATTTGTTACTGTAATAACTTATATTCAAATTGCAACATGAAATTATTGTTTCAATTATTGTTTTCAATTATAGTTTCAATCCTTACACCATCTATCATGATGTTTCCTCTTAGCCTAGTGGTAAGGACCTTTGTTTTCTTGATGTTGAATGCAATTCATAAGGAAGGCTGCATAGTCTTTGATCTTCTGCAGCAAGTGTTTCAGGTCTTCCTCACTTTCAGCAAGCAAGGTATGTTGGTTGATGAGTCTTCCTCCAATTCTCATTCTACATTCTTCAGAGAATACCTTCTAGAATTATTTGCTTAGCTTACAGACTAAATAAGTATGGAGAAAGGATATAGCCTTGATACATATCTCTTTTTTATTTTAAATGATGTTCGTTTCTTGGGCAGGTATAGATTTCATATAATTAAATCTCTTGGGATTTCCATTCTTTTCTTTGTTGGCCATAGCTGTTCATGATCCACAAATTCAAATACCTTTCCATAGTCAATAAAACACTGATATTCTTCTGATATACATGCCTCTGCCAGGATCTGACATTCGCAAGAATATCCCTGGTGCCATGGTCTCTTCTACAACCCGCATTAACATATAGCAATTTTCTTTCAATGTACTGTTCCTGGCGTTTTTGGATGGTCTTCAACAATATTTTGCATGCATATGATATTAAAGATATTGTTCGACAATGTCCATATTCTGTTAGACAACCTCCCTTGTGAATGGGGACAGAGATTTCTTCCAGACAGTTGACCAAGTATCTATCTGCCTTCCAAATTTCCTTGCACAGACTATGAACACAGTGAATGTGTTTCTGTTAGCTGAAACATGTCAATTACTAACCCACTGATTCCAGGGGACTTATTCTTTGTTAGTGCTTTTTATGCAGCTTAAACAACTTCTTTTTTCACCACTGGCTCTTGTTCATATGCTACTTCTTGAAATATTTCAGTGACAACCAATTCTTTTTAATAGTGAATCTGTGTATTCCTTCCATAATTTTTTTTCCTTCCATCTTTTGACGCCTCCTGGGTAATTAAAGATTTTTCTCATAGCACATCTCAACACTGCAATTTGAGGCTTAAATCTGTTCAATTCTCCCAGAATGAGAAATGTGGGGCGAGTTCTTCCCTTTTTATTCTGATTCCTGATCTTTGCACATTCCACTACAATGCTTTGTCTTCTCAAGATGCTCTTTGAAATAGTGTGTTCAGCTCTTCTCTGTTTTGGCTTCTCAACACTCTAGTCCAATTTTCAGAGTCTCTTCTGTCATCCATTTCAGTTGTTTTCTTTCTCCCCTGTCTATGTAAGGACTTTCTGTAATCTTCATGG